TTATAAGGATTACAAACCCTAATTTAGAATAATGTCGTTTTCTTCAGGCTGGTTTTCTTATAACTTCCCTGTGGTCCACGGGTTACACGCGTAGGAAGCAAGAGGTCTGGAGTTCAAATCCCAGTTAAGGCAACTGATGTTTGTTGTTTTTTTTTAAATTGTTTATGCCAAATAAATATTGAATTGAATATCAGTGTTCCAATTAGCCTTATAGCCAATTTACTATAGTTATAACACTGGAAACAGCATTGGTGACACTTTACAAAAACAAATTGGTTTATACTCTCACAACCTTCACCTTTCTGACATTCTGAGACCCAAACAAATTCATTGCCTTCTGTGCTTTGATTTTTTTCCTTCTAAATATGGATGTGTTTTCCCCTGACAAAAAAACAGCTATAGTAGGGAATAAGGCTCAGAATGATATTAGTTGCAAAAAGCCGAATGATTTATGTTTGCGCACGCTGACTATTTGATGGTGTTTATATCTGCCATGAGTTTCCCCATTCTAATCAATACCCTGGTTAATTCACACTCTCTGTTTTTATTTGCAGCTGATAGATATGCCAATGTGAAATACTCCAATTTTCCGTTTGATAATCGCAAATTGAAATGAAGCCATAGGTTCGATTCAACTATAACGGGGTAAGGGAAAAATTTTATTCCATTCATTTAAGGGAAAAAGTAATAAAGAGGGGAAGATATCCGGGTAACTGAGTGTTTAATTTGGGCCTTTTTTTTTGGATGAGGGGGGAAAATTCAATTTTGATGTTTTTTTTTGATCCCACTATGAACAAATCATGGGTTTGGGAGCTTGTTTTTAAAGAAATAAATGTTTTTTTCTCTATCAGATTTTACCTAATTTTTGAAATTTTACAATAAACCCGGTTTTATCTGTTTTAGAATGTTTGCCCCAAAAAATTTTTATTTCTTTTTTAATAGCAGCTGAAGGGCCTTTAAACACCCCACATAATTATTAACTTAACGTTCCATGTATTAACAATTTTTTTTTTTGGCACTGCATTTTAAAACTTAAATATTTTGAATGAGAAAAAATGATGAAATAAGTAACCCCCCCCCCCCCTCCCAAATTAAAAAAAAAAAGTATTTTGGAATATTTATTTTTGAAAAGTCAATCGAAATGTTTTAGAACGGCAGCAGAGATATACATGTACATGAAGCTTAATACACTAACCTTTTTAGGTCATAAGTTAAGAGAAGAAAAAAACGACTTACCATTAGTAGATTTCAATGTTCATTAAGAAAAATGATATGATCTGACATTAGATAAATCAATATCCTGGGAAGAAGTATAATTATGTAATCTCCATTAGGGCTGACTTTTTTTCATTTTACTTATCATTAGTATTTTTCTTTTTCTTTTTTTGTATCCATTCGTGCCCATTTGTTGTGCCCTTAAATAATAAACGGAAGGGCACCTGAGGTCTTCCTGCACCAGTAAAGCTGGAAAGTCACCATATGACCACTTGTGTGTTCATGCAATGTCAAAAACCCAACCCCAAAAAAAATTTGGTCATGGACACTGGTTTATTTAAACAAAATTCATTCCTGTCATATTGATTTGCAGTTTAATTTAGAATTGTTGCATTTTTTTTTTCGCAACGTATGACAAAGAGTCATAAGCAACAAAATGTTATTGGGGTCAATGAAATTCTGTTATGATGAAAAACTTAGCTTTGCTTTTCATTATTATTTTCATTTGTCCTCTAGCCTATGAGTAAAAAAGGTATGATTTGTTTTTATTGCATGTCTCCTAAAAAGTAATTTATATGTCTGACTTCTATTCACAATCTTAGGGAAAAAAAACACAGTTTGATTAGATTTGCCTACAGGCTTTGATTTCCAAAACTGATAGTTTTTCATGATGTCACAAAATAATGAAAAAATCTAGTTTATTGGTTGGTTATTTTCGGGAATGCATCCACAGAGGCTAGAAATATTGTAAATTGTTATATTTTCATATTTTATCAAATAGAAAATGAATTTATTGGAATGAATTTTGTAAATTGACGGAAATAAGTCATGAATATTTTTGCAACTGAAACTTCATATCAGGGCATTTCTGGTTTAAAGCTGCACACCTCGAGATGAGCCAAAATATTTCAAGAAAATGACAATTGAGAAAAATACAAAAAGATTTTAAGAAAATTAAGGAAATTCAAGATTCAGTTAATAATTAGCATGTTAATTGTTATGTGCTATGAATGCCTGAATTTGCATTACATTTATTAATCACCATAATTCTGCTATGTTACTAACGCATTAAGGGGTATTTTTGCATATTTTTACCTCTTATTGGTTATATACATGTATTGTAAGGTTAGTGCTGTTGAAAATTCTAAATGCAAAATAATTTGTCATGATAGTAGCCAAATGTAAATAATTAGTAATATTTTAACTTCCATACAAAATACAAACCAAATCACTACAACTGTACTAATTGCCAAACAACAGCTGAAGACAAAGATGGTTAAGGTAATTGGCCAATGAGTAACTTTTAAGTAACTATAAATCATTAGTACACCAAAAATGAAAAGCTTTCGAAAGTTAAAAATAAAAGCATTTCTTGGAAATACTGGCATACTTATTTCACATTGAGTGCTTCTTTCTTCAGGCAACAGCCCTCTAACCCTCCCCTAAAAACCCGTCCCCAAACATTAAAAATTCAGAATTTTACGGTTTTAAAAAAATAAAAATATTTTATTTTCTTGCATATCAGACAGGATTTTCTACCGTTTACACCGGTGCTAGAAAACCCATTTACCGCCCCCCTGTAAACAAGTCCGTGCTTTAATGCGTCATTTGGACGCGCGCCATTTTTATAATGAATTGGTCTTTGGGGTGACTCATTTTTTCCGTTTTAAAAGAATTTAATCATACCTACTATAAAAAAAATGCGCAATAGAATACATTTTCAAATTTGTTTTGAAAAAAATTGGTAGTTAACAAGGAAAAAAAACAAAAACCGGCGCGTTACAGGGGCGGAAATCTAGCTCTCGGGGAACGTTTTTCGGAAACTCGGGGAGAGCCTCTTCCCCCTGTAAAAATTACCCTCGAGCTAGATATTCCGGTCTGTACTGGCAGCCAGTGTAAGATTCTTAATAATTCTAAAAGCATAATTATAACGCTGGTCTTTAATATATTAAAATTTCTAAGGCATAAATATAACGTGCCTTTAAGTAAATTAAGTTCTGAAACTGAAAATTGAAAACACATGACTGTGATAAAAAAAGCATGTGTGAGCCAGTTGATAATGAGTCTGCAATGGTCACATGACTGTGTAGGTTCATTCCACCAGCAGGTGTATCTAAGGAAACAGCAATTATATAAAAAATCTAAAAATGGTTTGTAAAAGGTCAGACATGTTTGGGGAAATTCTCAAAATTTTGATTCTTTAGATCCTAAAAATAAGTACCAATCAAAATTTGAGAACCATCCAAAATTATATGGTCATAATTTTATACATGTATGGCAAAGCTCTGTTGTTTTGGATTGTTTTCAAATTTAATTCGTTAGATCCCAAAAATAAAGAAGTGCCAATCAAAATTTGAGAACCATCCAAAATTATGGTCATGTATAATTTTGGGGAAAAGTCTGTTTTTAAAGGCTTTCATGTACAGCAAAGGTCGTGTTTTTACAGCAAAACACTTGGGTAATTTGAGCAATCAATATTTAAAATGATAAAATTTTCATTGTGGGAAATTAAAAATTTGTGAAACCAGAAAGATTAAACTGTAACCTTATTTTACATCATAAATAAAATCAATTGTTACAATTTTTTATTAAGCGTCAGAAAAAGAATGTTTTTTTTTTTTGAAAAGAAAAAAAAGAATGCGAAAAATAAAGTTTGATAAGTTACACTTTTTAACCGAAGAAATATGAAAATGAGAAAATAGACTGAAGAAATAAGAAATAGTGCTGAATGAAGAAAGTACGAATTCATTTTGAAAAAGGTATGAATGAGATTTAATATGTGAATATAGTCAAAAGTAGACAAAGGGTTTTTTTATTTTTTTAAAATACTTAATCAATATTCCTTTAAATTATTGCCCAAAAACAAAAAAGCAAAATTTATTGCTTAGCTTAAAATGACAATGAAACCTTTAAGGAATAAAAGTACCCGGACCAAAAAACAAAACGTTTTTAAAAAAAAAAATATTCTAACATTTTAGCCTCAATGGCCTTTTTAAGGGGACGAAATACATTGTTTATAAAAGTTTTAAATAAAAACCCTTGGTATTAAGTTTGATTTTTTTTCTTTGTGGACCTTAAGATAAACTATTTTCATGAATAATTTAGGTATTTTTATTTAGTGTTATATGAGATATATCACCAAGGTATAATCACTCAGATATTATCACCAAGGGATTTGAATTTGATACCTCTATAAAGATAACCAGTTTTGAATAAGTTCATCCAGACAATGCTCTATGACATTGTTGTAACATGGCTTTGGAACAGATTGAAAAAAAAGAAAAAAAAAAAAGATAATTTCTCTTTGATATTTAATCTTTCAAACTCCAATAGTTTGACAGTATTAAAGCAGCACGCCTCCATATTCATGCTAATTTTCACAAAAATTTTGAAAATATAATTATTTAAAAGTGAAATTGTGAGGTAACCAAAAGAAGCAAATTACGCATTACAAGTAGGACTCAAAAGTTAATTACCAAAATAAGGTCAAAACAAATTTTTTTAAAAACCTTTACTGCATTAGTAACACAGTAAAAATATGGTTATAAATACTGGAAAATCAGTCGTTAAATCACACATAACATGTAAATTATGACTTAAATCTTGAATCTTTTTACTTTTCCTAAAATTTTAGTACATTTGTCTCAGATTTGATTTTATCAAAATATTTTTGGTTCGTCTGGATGTATGTAGCTTTAACTATAAGTTATATAAATCGTTAATGAAGAATGAAAAAGTGTGTAATGAAGTGTCTGTCCTTGTTTTATATGTATATACTATGTATATATTTTCAGGAAATAAAGTCAAGTGAACTCTGAAGTATTAGTAATTAAGAGGTTGTTGTGGATAAAGTTATACACAGTCTATCATATACTGGTTTATATCCTTAATAAATTCTTGGATATTATACATGAAAGGTGAGATATGCAACTGTATATAGTGCCTCTTTGACATTTAGGTTCCTTAGATGTTTTTTTTAACACTCCTATAACATTAACATTTTGTAGGTGAAAGACTTTAACTTGTGATTTTGTAACATAAGATTTTGCCAGATCTTTTTTCTTTGCGTTGGTGTTGACGTATTGATAGATTTGTTGTAAAGTTATTGAAGATGAGTTGATCCATTATAGAACGACAGTCTAGCTTTAAAGATTCTATGGCAATTGATCTGCAGTAATTGCTGGCGCATTAAGTAGTTTTTTATCTTAAAATCTGTCGTTTGTGTGATATTTATTCAACACAGCTGATTTGTCTGAACTTCCTTATAAAATCTTGATGATGTTTTAAAGCTGATACTAAGTGTACTTATTTGGGCATGCTGTACAGGCTGACTTTATACTAATTATACTATTTTGTAGCTTATTTTTACTATTTTGATGTTTTAAATAATAGAAAATGACATTGAATTGTTCCATATTTTAAAGCATTAGTTAGGATATTCCAATGATTTTATGAGAAAGTGGTACAAAGGCAATGTAATGTTCTGTACATGTAACTACTTCAAATGTCTGATATGAGTTTAAAGGGACTTTATGGTTACAGGATTGGTAATATGTTTTCAACATTTATGTACCATTTAAAGTACATCTGCTTTAGTACTTTGTGTGCTCAAAGTGGACACAGTAAGGTTGTTCACTTAAAACCACTTATCCTGCACTGCTGTTGGTGGGAATCCCACCAAGGCCTTTGGATTCTTTTATGTGTGGAAGCTGTCCTGGTTTTACTCAGATGCCCGTTCATGGAGGGAGAACAGTTCATATATAGTAATAAAAACTCCAAATAAGGGTGATATCCAATATCTAATGGAAAATTAAAATATACACAAATTTGATGTTGGATAAATCATTTAAAGTGGCTTCATTTTTCACAATAGTCCGTCAAGAGTCCATCCCTTTTGTCTAATATTGCATATGACGTACAGTCACTATTCTATTCCCACGAACACCATTAAATGTGCATCATCGAAGTCCATGTAAAGTGACTATAAGTGTAATACAATTTTTCCCCATTTTCTTTGAGAGATTCTAGATACTCTGATAGCTAAACCTCTTGAGACAAAAGTATTGATTACTGACATGGAACTGATGTTCAATTATTATTCTATAAAAATATTAAATCTAATCAAGTAGCATACCATTTGTTTAGGATACACTTGATTTTCGTTCCGTCTGAAATTTGTGCTTGATATAATTCAAATTTTCTATTGATTTTTGTTGGCTTATTAGAACGATATTCCCTTATATTGACCAACAAAGTCATTTTGTGTGGCATCAGCTATAATTTAGTCTGTGACAGTGAGAACAGTTCCTGATATAGACAATTTTCCCACTAAATAAGGAATTATAGTACAAGAGAGGGATTCTCTGGCCAATTATGAAAGGTTACTGACGGCCAGTGATTTTTGCCCTTTCATAACTTTAAAAGTTTGATACCTATCTTTAAAGATGCCTTTTCTACAAGGTTGACGAATCTAACTGCTGGTTGCAAGCATTGTTACATTTTGTGTGAGTAAAGGCATTGGCAGCCAGCATGCAGAATGTTTTGTGTGACATGATGTTGCAGTAATTTTTTTTTGAAATATAGTAGTTTGAGATATAGTAGATTGATAATAATATTTTTGTGCCGCGCCTTTTTGAAGAAAAAGGGGGATATTGAAATAGGCTCCGTTCGTCTGTCAATCCGTCTGACCGTCACACTTTTGTGTTCCGACCATAACTTTGTCATTTATCAAAGGAATCTGAAATAACTTGGAACAAATGTTTGTTATAATAAGACGATATGTCGTGCACAACAACCAGACCCCTACCTCCAGGGTCAAGGTCGCACTTTCTTATTCAAGGTCAACATTGTCTATTTGAGGATAAATGTCGTGTCTGGTCCATAACTTTCTTATCTTTGAAGGGATTTTGTAAATACTTGCCACAATTGTTCACAATAATGAGACAATGTGTCATGCGCAATAACCGGTCACCTACCTCCAAGGTCAAGGTCACACTTGGAGGTCAAAGATTAACAGTCTGTTATAGGGTATAACTTTTTCATAGATTAAAGGATATTGTAAATACTTGCCACAAATAGTCATTATAATAAGATGATATGTCATGCTTAACACCTGCATCCCTACCTCCAAGTTCAAGTTCACACTCAGAGGTCAAAAATTAACATAGTCTGTTTTAAGGTATATTTTGTGTCCGGTCTAGAACTTCTTCGGGATTTTGAAATAACTTGGCACAAATTGTCATAATAATAAAAGAATATGTCAAGTACAACAGCTGCACCCCTGCCTCCAAGGTCAAGGTCACACTTAGAGGTGAAAGGTTAACAGAGTCTGTTATATGGTATATTTTGTGTCCTGTACATAACTTCTTCATAGATCAAGGGATTTTGAATATACTTGGCACAAATAGTCACAATAATAAGATAATACGTCATGCGTAACACCTGTGTCTCTACCTCCAAGGTCAAGGTCACACTTAGAGGTCAAAGATTAAAATAGTCTGTTATAGGGTATATTTTGTGTCTAGTCCATACTTTTTTCATAGATCAAGGGATTTTAAAAATACTTTGCACAAATAATCACAATAATAAGACAATATGTCAGGGGCAAAACATGGGTCCCTACCTCCAAGGTCACACTTAGAGGTCAAAGATTAACATAGTCTGTAATAGGGTATATTTTGTGACTGATCTATTATAAACTTCTTCATAGTTCAAGGGATTTTAAAAATACTTGGCACAAATAGATACAATAATAAGATGATATGTCATGCACAAGACCTGCATCCCTACCTCCAAGTAAGGCTCCCACGTTTACAATTTTTTGTAAACGTTTACTAGATTGCTAAGAACCGAAACGATACTGTTTAAACGGTGGTACCTCTATGTACTATACACACCATGTATTTGAGTCGCCAAATGATGTCATTCTTTCTATCTTTTATAAATAAAGAATGTGCAGGGCTCATCACGATTGAGTCAGCACAAATTTTTTGCATTGTATTACCAAAAATGTATTATGTCACAAGCAATTTTGCACGGTAATGCTGTGTTGAGGGTTTTAAACACCTATTTTCCGTTTGTTTATAGTCTGATTTTATTGACCTGTCAATTATGAATACATTATAGCACTCATTTACATATTCGATCCCACTTCGGTTTTTTCCGTTTATTTTACGAGAATTAATATGGAGTGTATCACTTACGTTTGGAAAACTCTCACTAGATTAATGTAGGTTCTTGTAACATCCGCAATAGCACAGTCGGTTAAGTGATTACCTAATGCATGAGGGGTCCGAGGTTCGATCCCCTTTTTTGATATTGTTTTTAGACTTATTCTTTCTTTATTTTTAAGTATATTTTAATGAAAATGGTCAAGCGCTTGCAATTTGTCTACACGGATATGAACCAACTAAGAAACACTGAATTGTCACATTTTATATTGTATAATTACATTTATTGATTTTAATCGGAATGAATTTTCAGTATTAATTCTTGTTATATACAAATGTATAGTGTTTACAAAATGGTGCAAAACATATTAAAAATGGAATAACCATATCTTAAAAAACATGTAGAAAATAGTTATGAAAAAAAATACTGGACATACTCTGTCTCGATCCTACAACACGTTGAACATTCAGATAAAATATACCAGTGGTTTACCCTATTGCACTATAACGGTCAGTGTAACTAATTCAAAATAACAAGATGAATTTAATCACATCTTACTGCGCACATCTCACGGAATTTACCGAACATTTATCGAATATTAATATATACTGTGCATTGACCGTATAATCAGTATGGAATTGACAGGTTAATAAAATCAAACAATACTTTGGAATAAACCACTAGAATTGATAAAATCCATGATTACAGGCAATGATTAAGATATTTTTAAGACAATATGGTCATTTCGATTAAACGGTAAACAATATCGTAAACGTTTATGAATGAAAATCGAAACGAATCCGTTTAAACGTGTAATCGTGGGGGCCTTACCTCCAAGGTCAAGGTCACACTTAGAGGTCAAAGCTTAACATGATAGATTTTTAAATTCCGTGTTTCATTTTTATTTCTTTAATAAATTTATTGTTGCATTTGCAGATCTAGCATTGATCATAATTTTAGACTCCATACCTCAATCTTTTGAAATAGCACAATTATTTTACGCTTCATATAAAACTTCCCCGAGGCGGGGGATGTTGGTAACTCTGTTACAAATTCTTGTTGCATTTAGAGATTTGTCTTGAAATTCTGTGATGGTGTTTCTAAGTCAACAACTTTTACTATCAGGCCACAAAGGCCTGTTCTATAAGATATAGATTTGTCTTGAAATTCTGTGATGGTGTTTCTAAGTCAACAACTTTTACTGTCAGGCCACAAAGGCCTGTTCTATAAGATTATATATTGATTTTCCTTAATATATGCAATGGATTTGAAATTGGAATAGTTCATTTGATTTAAATTTCAAAATACAAAAACATATGAGCTACCAACAGTATTATAGCCTAGCTTGACTGCATCAATGAATTGGTGCAGGTTGCTTGGCTCGATACTGGTGGCAAAAGCTTACTCAATTTTCAAAATACAAAAAATTGAGCAACCAAAAGTATACAACAGGTAAAGGTACTTCTAAAAATTCAGATGGGGATTATAATAATGAAATGCCTGGCTAATCAGTTTGTATTAAGAAGACTTTGCAGCTTGGAAAGATTTAGTATTTTGATTTTAAGTCCCTAAAATTACTGATGGCAGTATGAAAACGATTAATAGGTAAAATCATCAAATAAAGTAGAAGAACTTGTAAAATGTGTTTTTAGATAATTACAGTATAATACCAATGTTATATGTAGTGTATCAACAGTAAGGATGCTGAAGTTTCCATGTGAACGGACAATCAGAAATGTATGTATCA